AATAAAAAATACTAGCAATAAAAATCACTAGCAGTAAATTATTCCAAGCCATTGAGACGAAAGTTTAAAATGAAGAACCATTTGTGATCAAAGGACCAAAAATAATGAAAAAATCTCAAAATAAAGTATCTATAGAAATCTTTCCTCTTTAAAAATCACTGAATACTTTTCACCAAATAAATTTAAAAGTTTCCAAACCAAATGGTTTTTTTTTTTTTTCTAAACCAAATTTATAATTTTCCATTTCAAATTAAGATTTTTCCAAATCAATTTTTATAATAATTTTAAGAATTTTTATAATACCAAATGGATATAATATTTCAGTTTTCTTTAAATATCTTACAACATAATACCTAATACGAATAATAAGTTTGGGCATTAAAGCATTTAATGACTAATTTTTAAAAAAATGAATTTATAGTTAAAATTTTCTACATGTAAAAATCAAAATGCCAGTTTGAGCAATCAGCACGTTTGAAGATTGAGCTTCTGGAATTATTCCGATCAAATTATGCGCTCCTAATTCATTTAGACTGCTGCTTGTACTAATTTTTATATTGGAAAAGGTAGTCTCTAATGGATTTAAAGTAGGATAGTAGGCAGAAAGATACATCAGAGTGAGCAGAGTTTCTGCATCTTTTCTTTTACTTCAACAGCTCAATGAATCTGTATATTGCCCATCACCAAAACATTTTGTTAAGCATGAGTAATCCCATGAAGTTCTGACAAGAAATCATTGAACCTAATTTGAAGATTTCTAAAATTGCTTTAAATGCTATAATGTCTAGCCTTAATATTCATAATAGATACCATGTCTAAGAAATTTGATAAGAAAACTAAAATACTCTCTCCATTTGGTGTTAACAAACTTTTTAATTGGTTTGGAAAAATCTTGATTTGAAATGGAAAATTTTAAATTTGAATGAAAAAAATCCAAATTGATTCAGAAAGTTCCAAATTTGATTTGGAACGGTACCAATTTGTTTTTGGAAATGCTATTTGGAAATGATATACATAAAATAATGTTAATTATGATTTTTAAATAAAACTTGTTTTATCAAATCAAATACATTTGTAAACAATCAACAGATGTTATTAAAAATATTGGGCATTATTTAACCATAATCTTGATATCGTACATATAAATTTTTTTAAAGAGCATCATCAAGTTTCTGTGTAAGTACTGCTATATCATTTGTTTTCTCACTTTAATCACTATAAATTTAATTGCTTTACTATTTAATCACCAGCTTCATAATTCTTTTTTTTTTTTTTTCAGCGATACAGTTCAAGATAAACTTTGGAACTCCTGTACAATCTTCCTTCATCCACTTGTTATGATTCAGCAAATTTATCTGTGTACATCTAATCAAATAAAAACCATAATATTTTCTACTCAAAGAAGACCCTTAGGGCGACTGGTCTGAAGTTTTCCGAGTTCAGATTTCCATTCCATAACACAGACACAGTATTGGCCTCATCAAGATAAGAAGCTCAATTTCTTATTCTTTGCAGGCTTATAATCCGAAAAATTTGAGGTTCGTTCGGGCTTAAAACAGGGGGATTCTCTTTCGCCTGTCCTGTTCAATTTGGCATTAGAACATGCCATTAGGGAGGTAATGCGAACCGAGAAAGGGTTGGATCTGGGCGGGACAACATCCGTGCTGGGCTATGCTGATGATCTGGTACTGTTAAGCGAAGACGTTGAAACTATAAAACTAAATACGACAACGTTAATGAAAGCCGGTAAAGAACTAGGACTCGAAATAAACGTGGATAAAACAAAATATATGGTTAGCTGCAAAAATGGCGATACTACTGGTGATATCGATATAGATGGTAATATGTTTGAACAGGTAGATAAATTTAGGTATCTAGGTTCTACGATAACTAGAAAAAACGAAATTGAAGAAGAGATTAAAGTTAGACTGAAGGCGGGGAATGCTTGTTATTTTTCTGTGACAAAACTACTCAGTTCACGCCTCTTGTCCCGAAACTTAAAAATTAGAATCTACAAAACAATTATCTTGCCTACAGTTCTTTATGGATGCGAAACTTGGCCGCTTACATTAAGGGATGAGCAGCGTCTTAAGGTTTTTGAAAATAAAGTATTGCGTAGAATATTCGGACCGAAGAAGGATGAGTTAACCGGAGAGTTCAGACGGTTACACAACGCCGAATTGCGTGAGCTGTATCCGGGTAATAAATATAATTGAGGTAATTTCATCGCGGCGAATCAAATGGGCTTGTAAAGTTGTTGGGATTAGTAACGAGAGAATTCCTAAAAGGTTAATATTTGCTGTGCCGAATGGTAAGCGTCCGAGGGGTAGACCGAAGCGAAGGTGGGAAGATTGTATTAAAGCCGATCTGAAGGGACTGGGTTTGGACGGCGAACGATGGAGGGAGGTGTGCAATAAGCGATTGGTGGTGTCGGCATCGAACCTTCGGGTTCGCTAAGCCTTATTATTATTATTATTATTATTATTGCAGGCTTATAATGATACTAGTTCACAAGAGTTCCACACGGATTAGGCGTGGTTCACAATCACTTCGGTCACACTTGTTCATGAAACACTGAAAAAAGTTTAATGTTATGATGTCAGCTCTTGTTTCACCCACCCATTTTCCTTTGACTCATTTTTGAAAAACATCATAGAACTATTTATTTACAACTTTTTTTTTTTTTTTTATGACAGTAATTACTTAAGAAGAAAAATAATAAAATTGTTTAAAAAAAAACATACTTTTAAGGAATAAATTGTTTATTGACACTTGCTTACATGTAGTAGCTGTTTATATGTTGTAATTTAAAAGTGTACATCTCGTGATAATTAAGGTATTTAGCTCGCATCACTCACAAACAAGTATGGGCAAATGATAAAAAATAACTTTTCTAAGCCTCAAAATCGACCCTCCCCCTACCGTACTACGGGGCACTTAGGGCATAAATTATATAAGATAATGGATAACTAATGATTTAATTGAATTTTCAATAAAACTCGATTAAAAGTTTGGGAAATTGCATTGTTAATTTCTTTTAGCAAGCCTTTTTTAGAATTAAGCAGTAGTCTATCTAGTTTTCATAACATTTTAAATTTCTTTTATATAAGAGCCCACTATTACATTTCGGGGCGCTTTTTATGAAATACTGTTGAATTAGAGATCGCACATTGAGTAATTGTATTTTTTTGGATTTATTCGATTTTAGGGTCTACTATTATGTTGTCAGGAATGCTTTTAATGAAAATACCATCAGAATGAAGATTGCGCACCAAGTTTATTAAATTTGTTTATATTTCTTCGATATAAGAGTCTACAATTGTATCGACTATTTGTAAACAACGAATAAAAAATAAATAATCAGTTAAAAAAAAATTATAACAGATAAAAATTTATTTATAATTAGTTGTTTGGATAAATATTTATTCGAATATCGCCAACCCCAACAAGATGGTTTTTATTTATTACTATTTCTTTTCCACAACTCTTTAATATACGTATCAGGTTGATGAAGTTAACATTAAACCAAATGTCAAATAAAAGTCCGATAACTGTAGATGGTTAACAGTATAAAAGCATTTTAATGGTGGGAAGGTTATTAATAACTAAATCAAGAGATCTGTTGGCTTCATACTCTTTCGGATAAACCTGGATGCATTCAGCATAACATGATTAAGTGTGACTGACACATAATCCATGCGGAAATCTTGTGCCCTAATATCCTCATAATTTTAGTTATTTAATGGTACTACAAGGGAGTGGGGTAGCTCAGTGGTAGGGTACTGAGTTTCCAATGCTAAAGGTCCCAGGTTCGAATACTGTCTCAAGGCAGAAAAATTATTTATTCTGTTTCAATGGCCTTGGGGCACACTGGGTAGGCAGACCCTGATGGGGAATACTAAGCGTCTATAAAGTGGGTACCCTTAATTAAAATAATTAAGGAGAAAATCCTTGGTCAAATAACCTCCTTGCACAACTGCAGATCAAGAAACAGTGCGTGCTTTCCCTAAATAGTTCCGAACTGAAGACCCTTCATGGGTTGTAGCGGTACAGGTTCTTCCTTTTTTTTTTTTAAATTGTAATACAACTCATTGCCTCCAACTATAGTTCCTGTCTGGCATTACTGCATTCTAGTCCTCCATATCCAAAATTGACATGGCATCAATTCCATCACAGACAAAATCTCCCTCATCATGATAATGAGCTTCTGTTATCAATATCCTAGGCAAATCATTTTCAGCCATCCTAGAAATATGTTCTAATCACCACAATCTATTAAAATTAGTACTTATAAACTGAAGATATGTTTTTACATATAAATTTGAGCTCCCGGTTCGTTTTGTGTTCTTCATACACATCTCTAAATATTATTTCTCTCAAAGATCAAAAAGTTTAAACAATAGTCCATATTTCAATATAACAATGTCCATATAACAATAGTATAAAATTGCATTGACCAAATAACTATATAACATAGATAAGTCAAATGCATAGGTCCTAAAATATGGTATGAGGCCATAATAACAAAGGTTGGCAGATTTTTTCGTTTTACTTAAGTCCATAATCTCCAACACTGTCCAGTACTACGAGAGATTCAGAACAATCCGAAAATGTACACAGAGGTATAATTAAGGGTAATCAGTAACTTTAAGTGAAGTTTATTTCAGCTTTAGGCTAGTAATGTAACCTAAGAGTTAGAGATGTCAACTCATGCAGTTATTTAAATTAATTTCAGTAATAATTGACTAATTCAGATATCCCATATAGTATTCATTAGATTAGGGCCCAGCTGTCATTCAGATATAAAATGGCTATAACATTACCTACCTTTGATAAACAACAAATACAAGTGATCACACTGTAATGCAACAAAAAAGCTCATCACATATACATGCTGTAAACAACTTGATAAAATAAAAAGTAATATAAATATAATGACGAACATAGAAGCATAAATCTGGAGTTATTATCTACTAAATTAAATAAGACAACATTCTTACCCCCATCCCTGGTCCTCCAGGAGGACCCATCATATGAGGCGGAGGTGGTCCTCCATGGGGTGGCATACCACCGGGCGGCATCGGTCCCCAGTTAGGGTCATATCCAGGAGGAGGTGGTCCTCCACGAAATCTTGGACCCCTGGGTCCTCCACCAGCAAAAGGAGGTGGACCATGACCTCTGAAACCAGGAGGAGGTCCTCTTGGACCAAATCCTCTTCCCCTAAATCGAGGAGGAGGTCCATGTGGCCCACCTTGACCCATAGGAGGTCCTCTGGAACCAAAGTCCATTCTGTTCATACCACCTCTACCCCTAAAAGATACAAAACAAAATAAAATTATTATTTTTCACATTGAATCTTAGGGACGTCGAGTAATATATAATACAAATAATACTTCAAACAAATAATACCTGAATCCACCCCGGCCTCTCGGCTTCTGTTGCCTAAAATCTCCACCGTATTCACCATCATTTTCATCGTCCATGGGTTCGTCTCCATCCATATTATCATCGTAATCATCTTGTTGATCAGGAGGAGTGTGATCTATACCAGAATCGTCCAAATCTTCCATCAAAATTTCTAATTATTTACACACAACTTCGTAACAAACAAATCTACAATAGCTTAGCAATGATGGCTGCTACCATCGGTGACGTCACTATTAATAAACTGTAGTTCAAGGATTAATGTATCAGTGAATTTATGGAATACATTGAAAGAAAAGATGGTTTTAAAACTTTTTAAATAAAATAATAATGATTCTTACCGAATCGAATAAAATATACAGTACTTATTTGTTTATACATTTATTTAGTTTTATGTATAAGCCGTAATACATGAAGAACGAAATATTAATTTTAAACTTATTTTCTTGTTTTAAATTTTAATTAAATCATATTTACTTAAATAAAATATTTTGAAGTTTAAATCTGCTACATTTTGTTTGATATCAAAACAAAGGATTTAAGAAGCAGTGACAGTACCAGTCCGGGTGCCAAAGTTTATAAATTTCTCTCAAGTTTTCTCAATTATTATTCATTTAATTAATGTTTAAAAATGATTCATCTTGAGGCATATTAAATAAATTTTATCTTGTAATGTTCACAATACGTTTAACTATTAATGATTTTATTATAATTGCAATCTACTTTTAAAGTGAACAAGAATTTTCGGATCTGATTTTATATTATTATCATGATAACTGATATTAGATATTTTCTTTTGCTAATATTATTTACTTTAAATCACTAACTAAATAATTACTAATTGCTGTAAGCACTTAAACCTTTGTATCAACAGGTACTATGGATATCATGATTAACTTGTTATCAGGGGAAAATTGGTTAAACATTTTTAAGTTGTGTTGATATGGTGTAGTTAGATGTGTGATACATTAGTTTTTCTTCCTCAACATACACCATTCCTGATATTGGTAAGTTGTGGTAGTATTAATATTATCTTAAGCTAATCTTTTGATAATTAGGGGAAATGTAAGGATAAATATTTATTAGAATTCATTAAAAGAAATTTTGTTACAGAACTGTTTTAAAGAAAATATTCTGTTTTTAGAATAATCAAAAGAAACACTGTAAAATATGCTTATCTAAATAAACAAAAATATACATAGTAAATTTGCAATTAATCCCTTACTAAATCTTTTTATGTTCTTTTAATTAACTCTAGTTCATTTATAATGACTTCAGTCTGTTGTAAATATTAACACTTACATTAAAGTTTACCTGTCAACAATTCTTTAGACAATTGTAAATATTTGAATTATTTATTATTAAAATATTTTTGGCACTAATTTAAAAGTGATCAAGTTGACAGTTGGTTCACGTCGATTTGATTGTTAACAATCCTGTAAATAGCTAAGTGAATTTAGAAGCACGCAGGAGGCCACCGATCTACATTGGTAATGGTCTGACTTCAATTGCAAAAGACCTTTTGGAGGTTTGTTTATTTCTTGAGCTTGTGTATCGAGCCCACCATGGAACATAAATTTCGAAATTCTGACACTTTAATGCACATCCACAAGGTTGGTTACGTACCACCTGGCCAGATTGGGATGTGGGGAAACAAAAAATAAAAATAAATCAATGTGATCTTTATCCACTGGTGATTCTTTTGAATCATTATTATTTTTTTTTTTTTTTGTAATTATTTGATTTATCAATAACCAGACCAAGGTAAGAATTTTTTATAACAGAATGTTTTTTATTCTATCTGCCTCTGTATAGATCTTGATTGTAGATTTTAGAAAAACAAATGCTACATTAAGAGAAAAGAGAAAGATGTGAATCAATCTCTAGGCGCTATGATTCTCTTTATTAATTCATTAAGTGTTGCTTTTATGAGTACTGAATATAAATTAGAATTTAGTAAATAAAAAATACCCAATATGTTTCATGAATCTCTACAATAATAATCATCTTGCTTTAGATACCATCAACTTTAATTTGAAATAATTCCATTTTCATTATTTATTTATGTTTATTAGTTGTTTTTTTTTTGTTCATTTTTGCAATACTTTAATTGTTTTTTATCCAGAAAGTCGAGTTATTCCTATATTAAAGTTGCCTTCATTAATTGTTGCATCGTAAATTTATATATATATCACGCATAAGCAGTTTTTATGTTTTATAATATTGACTAGAAATAGGACCTTTTTTAAATAATTTGTTTATTAAAGATCGTTGGGTTAGATTACTAGTATATAATTTTCCTTACTCATGAGACTTACCATTAAAATACCTATACCGCTGTCTTGGAGTTTTCAATAGAACATTTTTATTCCTTAACTTCTGATATTTTAACATCTTTTCTATTTTATTTTCAGTCACCTTGTTTATCCCATATAATCCTTATTTTCTTACAAACTGCAGAAACTACCTACAACATTTTCAATTAACTTCAATTCAATTTTAAGACTTGTAAACTTTTTTTTAGTTAAATTGATTCCTATATGATTAGTTTTGATGAATTTACTACCAGGTCTATTTTATGTTAAAAATGGTTGAGAATTCAATACTTCTTATAATTCATTATTATTTTTTTTCATGGTAACCATTTGCCATTTAAGACATTTATTATTTCTACAATGTAAAATATTTTTCTTAAGAATTTATTTAAAAACTTCATCATCTTTCTTTTTATAATTAATCGTACAACATAGTATTTTATAACTAATATAAAAATTTTCATTACGTTTTTAATGATTTGAAAACCAAACTCAAATTAATTATTTGTAGAAAGCTACCTTAATTAATTTTGTTTTAAGATGTATTCGTCAGTTCGAATTTAGCGGTACTCACGTCACTGGCTTTTCCTTTTACCGTGAACACCCCCTGGATTCCTCTTAAATTATATATTTATTTCAGAGTAAAACCTTACTTTCTCTGGAATATTTTTACACCACGCTATTTAATCGTGTTGGTTATTCAAATGACTAAATTCCTTCCTTATAATTATTTTTTACATATGATTTTTTTAATGTAACTATTGTTCGGTAGGGGGAGGGTGTGCAGAGAAAGTCACAGCCTCAGTAATAGTACGCCGAAGCCGTTCCGTGCTAGTTGGACAGTCTTATACAAACTGTGAACCAAATCGGAAATATAACGTAATGGTTTTGTGAACCTCTAATTCACATTTCGTAAATAAAAGTTAATCCCCTTAAACAAATGACCCGATTATTTTATTATTCTGGATACAAGTGCTGTTTTTTTGTTTTGAACGATTTTATGATTTAAGTAGTTGCACCAGTCATGGCCAGGTTGTTCTGTTGTCTGTGATCGTTGTTTGGTGTGGCCTGTTGTGATCTTCCAAGCTTAAAACAAGCCGCCATTATTGTGTGGAGTAACTGTTAGTCGTGCTTTGTGTTTAAAGAACTTTTATTTATAGTTAATTCTGCTTTCTGTAAGACGTCAATTTAATATACATATAAAGCGAAGTAATAAAGAAGAAGGATTTTTATAATTTCACTTGGTTAATTAAAACAGTTTGTTATCCATTGTTCTAATTTATTACTAATGCACAAGAAAGAGAAGTAAATAGTTATTTATAAAACATGTTTATGTTTCTACGAGAGTCTCCAAATCCTTTTCAAGTCTTGTAATGTGGTGTGCTATTGGTAATTGTTTGGAACACCAACTATGTTTTTGTATGCTGTAACATAAGAAATTTTATGGAGCCATTTCAGCTCTGGAATTCAGTTAGTGTGCGCACGTTGCGGTGTCAGGATCAGAAGTGTTGGTTTCAGCCATTACCGGTCAGTGATTTAATTTACAACCAGTGAATAGGTAGTTATCTATGACAGTAGTGTGTTTCTAGAAACTCGCACTTTTGTTTTGTTTTTTCGTTATAATTTTTTTTTGTTTATCGACGATTGTGCAAGTGTCAAATCAAATGTACATATACTGTTAATGGTCCTGGTGGGTATTAGCTTTTGTTGAAATTACTCTTAATGCTCACTGTCTTCTGCAACTGATTATTGGATTATCTACATTTTCATCAAGTAATTCTTTTGATTTTATTATTTTCTAACCAAGCTATGACATGTGGAATTGTTTCTTGTTTATGATTCAACTTAAATGTATATGATTTAAGGGCTGTGTTTATTAATTGAGCCCATGAATGAATGGGTCTAAGATTTGCCTCGCTGAGGCATTCAAATGTTGTCATGGCTCCTGCTTTGACAGAAACTGTTCAATCCCAGAGCTTCAAGTTCGCTACCTCCCCATCTCGGTCTCCCTCCCTTTCATTGAAGAATCATCAAAAGAAAACAGAAATAATTAGTGAAGAACTGGAACCCAAATTGACAAATGGTTTGAAATTCATTGCTGGCATGAACGGACACTCCCCATCTAACAATAAAACAACATATTCTATTAATGGTTTAGCCAAGAATCTGAAAAATGAATTCCTACCTCTCAACAGAAAAAAGGATGTGATAAAAGATGAGGCAGGGAGTAGGGCAGATTCTAACTATTCTATTACCCAGATAGGTGGTTATATGATGAATAGTGGTTTTATGGGAGATCCAGACATGGGGTTAAGGAAGTCTAATAAAGAGTTAAATGATGGAGATAAAGTGTCGCCTGATGTTGATCAATTTATTAAAAATTTAAGTGTTGTTATGAATAGTGAAGAGTTGGGAACAAACCCCGAACTTAATCAGAATGTTGAAGAGATATTCAAAGTTATTTCGAACCTTGACAATAATACTAGTGAGTTAGTTTCTGGTCCATCAGGAGAAAATGAACCTATGTTTTCTGATATGGGAGGTCTGACTAATTTTGAAAGAGATTTGTTTAATGAAGTGGATATGATGAATATGTGTGTTGATGAATCACTAGTGACTGTGAACAAAGATGCTCTTATCCGTGAGAGGATCGAAGAATTTCGAAAACGTAAATTTTTATTATTACGAAGAATAGAATTTCTTGTTCGAAGACTAAAGAAAACAAAGGCACATTTATTAGGTAGGCATGCATCGGAGGAAATTACAGGTGTTTTAGAATATTCTTCTAATATATTGGAGGCATCTACACGACTCAGGGTTTATTCTTCAGGTGATAGTGATAAGAATGTTAAATGTGATGTGAAGCCTGTTTCATTTGCTGGATTATCTTTGTTTATGCGGCAAATGGATCATGCTGTAAACCAACAGACCAACACGGTGGCTCGAAATTCTATTAGGCAGTGTAAATATTTTGGTTCTGGTTCATCATCCAGTAGCTTGGTAACAACATCCAATGGTGTCAGGTCATCCCTTCCGGGTTCGATTCTCCCTTCTTTCCCATCTGATGTAAAACAAGAACTTTCTACAACTTATGGAGAACTTCATTCTCAGCTTGTAAAATTGCAGCAAGATATTGATTCTGATGTAACTGAAAGCAGTTCTGGATGTGAAAGTTGTGATGAATTTATAGCATACAACAATGTTCATCAGCATCCTCTATCCATGTGAGTAACAGCACTTTATTAAAATATACTTTTAATGTTTCTTATGATTGATATAATCTTGAAAATGTTTTGTTTTTAGTCGTAATTTTTTAATGTTTTAACTTTTTAAATTCAAATTTATAGTCGGATGATGTAGCATTGAATAGAAAAATCCTGCCTAAAATTTTTAAAAATCTTCTATTAACTCATATTTTTGCCAAACATTTTTTTTACTGTGTACCAGTTGGATTTAATTAATGCAATATTGCATTCCGAGTAGTGGTCCAACTTTCCACTGCTGGTACTACATGTATTTTTATTAAATAATGTTTTTGTTGCCATCATTTTTCTTTATTGCAATTGATGTAAATATTGTAAACTAAGATGTACCACATTTTATTGGGAAAATTAAAGTTTACAACATATTGCAAGCTTGAAGTAATTGAAAAATCATAGGATTGAATTAAGCTACTTAATAAAGAAATATTATTTTATGTTGTCTAATTATTCCTATTGATATTTGAGCTTTAAACAGTAATATTTACAATTTTTTTAGTAATATTCATATCTTAAATTATGTTATTGTCAGATTTTAATTTAGATGGATTGATAGATTTTATATCTTGAATTTAGAATGAAAATCTCATTCTAATAATAATTACTCTAGGAATTGATATATAAATTATATGCCATTTTCACAGTTATTACTAACTTTATATATAGTTTATTTATTCCTTTCTTTTCATTTTATTAAGTTAATATACTTCTCAAATTTTGCTGTATTATTTAAAATTTGTTTATCATTTTTCTTTTTGCGAGCAGAGATAGTGATGTGTTTTGCATAAACATTTTAATTAAATAAATATTGCTGTATTTATGTTATTAATTGCATGCCTATTTCTTATGACAATGTGACCAGAAGTGATTGATATGTTTATAAACTTTGGTTGTTGGAGACTTTATGGGATTAAGCGATTTTTCAAACTTCAATTGGGTTATCATCAAAATTTTAAAATCATTATTATACCTTGAAAAGAATATTTGTTTTTAATTTTGTTGTACAGAGGTGTCTACAAGCAAAAAGACTTACTCTTCCATTTTTTATTTTAAAAATAAACTATTAAAAGTTGAATTCTTAAATCAAAGTATATATAGTTAGCATTTACCAAGTGGCCAAGTATTTGCACCCAAATCGACTTATATTCGTCGGTAAACGCGCTGAAAAATGCGAATTTACAACAGGTGAGGGTTTTGGGTTGATCATTTTCATTGATCCTGGTTCTTGCCACTTGGTAAAACTATATAAAAACATTGTTCCTCAATAGAAAATATAATTAGAATTAGTCAACGAGATTTCTTCCGAGGAAATATATTAAAAATAATTATCTTGCCTTCAATTGTGCGTAAGATTTATTGGGATCAACAGTTTATTAATTTTTTTTTTAAATATGATTTCTCATCATGCCAGTTTTGTATTTTTAAAAAAGTAAACCATTGAAATATTTATATAAAAAATAAATAAATGAACTAAGAAAACACATTATCATTTATTAATTCTTATGAACCCATTTCCGTTTAATCGGAGGTGAGGAAACTCCGTATTTAATAAAGTAATTTGCACTGCTCAACACTATGTAACTACAAAGAAAGCAGAAATATTTTCTAACAATGGCTAAGTTTATGCAGATTTTTTTAAACCATTTTATAATTTCGAGTTCTTATTTGTTAATCTTTTAAATGCCTTCTAAATGTATTATTACCCTTTCGTACCGACTGTTGTTAATTGGCCATTATCTTGCCGATGGCTTAGTGATTCTACAAAATCAAACTTATTTAATGGTACTATATTTTTTGGATTAAATTATTCGTCCGAAACCAAAACGAAATAATAATTTTCAGTTAATGAGTATTACTTATTCTATTAATATGACCATATAAATTTTTTTTATAGACATTTAAATTTTATTAAAATATTAATTGATGTATGATCATATTTACCACTTTGTGTTGTATAATCTGGTTGCGTATTCGTTTATGGCTGTAAATTTGAATAAATGAATATTTAAAAAATAATGTGTAATGGTTTAGTCTTTCGGTGGATTAGAGGTTTTAAATATTTTAAGTTTATTATTTTTTAGACCGTTACTTGTGGTTATATTGTCACTGAAATGTCTTCTATTGGGTGGCTACCCATATGGTGCGGTGCTGGATGTATGTTAATGAAGGGATATGATGGTATATCTCATCAGTTTATAAACATGAATATGCTAGGATTCAATATGGAATCATATGCAGCTGATATATATGATTTTTGTTATAAGATAATGTTATGGAAAGCTTTATAATATTGATTTGTGTTTTGCTTCTACCTGTACAAAAAAAAGTCCATCAAATGTAACTTGTAATTTTAAAAAATTGTATTAAAATTATGCCAGACTGTACCTATAATAAATGTACAGATGCCAACAATGTTTTAATTAATCTCTATTTATGATCTTTTATTACTTGGATTATTCTATAGCATTTTTCTTATGCTCATTTATCATCAGATTGTTTTAAAAATGACTTTTCATTTGTTTTATAATGGAACCATATTTTTCCTTTTACGTAATCGATACAACTCTAGAAAATATTAAAATTGGTCATTGTTATTTAACTTAAAATTTTTTATTGTTGGAAGTCACTATTAGTTGTTATTACAACGAAATTTAAAATTCTTAAGTTGGATTAAAATAAAGAATGGAAAAGGGCACTTACTAAAAAGCGCTGCTGTGGGTAATCGATTTTACTTTGGCCCTTTTCCTTTTCTATAAAAATATTCTTTTTTAGTTTGTTATAGTCAATATTTATTTTAATAATCTAAAAGCAATTATTTAAATTAAAAAGTACTAAGAGAAATACAGTGTCCAGATTAGGTTTTAAATAGTTTTTTGTTAAGAAATTAGTTTTATTCTTGAATTATTTCTTCTCTCAGACGTATTTCTTCTTTTATTTGCCGAGTTTCTTTTGAAGTTTTATAAGAGATTCTATGTATATTGATTTTCGTTATATTTTGATAAGAGAATATTCTCTAGTCTTTCATGCAACTATTTTAGGTGGTGGAAAGTTAATATATGTATATTTAATGTAACATTATTTAATTATTTAAGTTAAAGATTTCTAATTAGTGAATGGTGAGCAGACATAAGTAATGATGTATTTTAACAGATAATTTTTCAATAAGCCGGTGGGCAGTGTGTTGTGTGCTGGGCGTGTTTTTTCGCGAACCCCCCACCCCGGAGTAGACGTGGCAACATCGCAGAGAAGCTACGTTGCCACATCTAGCCGTCCCCTATCCTCTTCCCAGTCCGCCGTCAGTTGACTTCTGCCGGATTTCTCCTAGGCCATCCATCTCTCATGTCCTCAACCATTATACGTCATGTCTTGTTTAATCATATTGCACTCCTGATGCTCAGCTGATCTATAAAATAAATAACTCTACTCCTGTATATTGGGTTCGACCATTGCTGTCGCCATGTCTTTATTTGTTGTTAGGTTTAGTAACAAATTCTGTATCACCTGAAAAGCATGTGTTTTATTTCTGTTGCCATACGCCAGTTATTCAACATGTTTCTTGAAAAAATTTATATACTAATGTATGTAATTTTAAGTAAAGCTAACTACTAATTTTAAATATTTTAAAAAAATACCGCAGGAACCTAGATTAAAAGACGCAACAGCCAATACATAAGTCTAACAACCGGGTTACAATATGTTAAATCGTTAATATAGACCTACTGAGTTTTGGAGGTCTTTGTCATTCCAAACTTTACAAGAATAGAATTAATACAGCTTCAATATGTGCTCGTCATTAACAATAATGCGCTATGATGTATCCTAAAACGAATTTTCAAAATCTATTTTTGGAAGGGTTAGGTATTGTGAAAAGGGAAAATGTTTATTGAGGTCGAAAACAAATTTCCGGAACTACTAGTCAAAAGGTATACGTATAATATGTCGTTGGAAAGTGAAGAATTTTAGAAAAAAACAATGTTTAATATAAAAAGTTGTTGAAAGTAATGGCGAGTGGCGTAAAATTATAAGTAATAATTTGTGAACACATATATTATTCAACGGAAATCACATGTTTTCAAGGAAATTAAATGAAATTTATTAACTAAATGTATACTTGTTTTAAGTTTGAAAAAAAAATAAATTTAAATCTACCTAATCAAGGCACTGGAATTGTTTAAAAAAACTTCATGGATGTATAAAACATATTTTTATAACCTGTACATTTTTTGTAGTTTAATTATTCTAGATTTTTTTTTTTCTTTCGTCGGCCCAAGACTCTTACAGAAGTCTGCCATTCTAGATTTGGTATTATATTTAAATAATTATGTATCAACGTTCGTTAATTCCGAAAAATCGTCATGTAACTTTTAGAAAATTAAATGAGTGAATAATTAATAGAGTTTATGAAACAGATTCGCACCATATGGTTGAAATCTATTTAAAGTGGAAAGAGGTCTGTTCTTTTTGGTGGTGATAATTGCAGCGTGGGAAAGGGAGAAGTATAAACAAGTTTTGTCTCTGTTATAAAAAGTACATTTTATTTATTTTAAACAAATAATATTATTCTGTGAAACATCACTGGAGTAAAAGGAGTGCTAGCTACTTTTTAAAACTATTAATTGGAGTGTTATAATATATTAACTAGCTGGTTACAGATATTGGAGCAGTATCTTTTTCTATCTATTATTGACTGCAGGAATTATCACATTCATATCAAGAATCATTACTGAATCTTGTAAATTATGTTTTTTCTCTCAAACTAATGATTATATGGGTACTGCTTGAGGTTTAAGTAGTTATGTCTTAAAAAAATCGTTTAATTTTTTTTTTTTAATTGATGGCTTCAACATCTTGGGTTTAATAATTATTATATCGAGGTTGTAATAATGGTATCCATATCCCAGTATTAACTACTGATATAAATATAAATTTATTTATACTTTCCATTAAAGATTTCGTTTAAAATG